GGCCGCTACCTGACGGTGGCCGCCGTGTTCCGGGGCCGCATGTCCATGAAGGAGGTGGACGAGCAGATGCTCAACGTGCAGAACAAGAACAGCAGCTACTTCGTGGAGTGGATCCCCAACAACGTGAAGACGGCCGTGTGCGACATCCCGCCGCGCGGCCTGAAGATGTCCTCCACCTTCATCGGCAACAGCACGGCCATCCAGGAGCTGTTCAAGCGCATCTCGGAGCAGTTCACGGCCATGTTCCGGCGCAAGGCCTTCCTGCACTGGTACACGGGCGAGGGCATGGACGAGATGGAGTTCACCGAGGCCGAGAGCAACATGAACGACCTGGTGTCCGAGTACCAGCAGTACCAGGACGCCACGGCCGAGGAGGGCGAGTTCGAGGAGGAGGCGGAGGAGGAGGTGGCCTAGGGCCTCAGGGGTTCACGTCCTGTCCGCCCCCATCTCCCTACCCCTGCCCATCCCCCCAACCCTGCAAGACTGCTGACCTTTGACCTCTTAGAGCCCCCTCTATACCCGGGGAGAACCCCAGGTCACGTCCCAGCCTGACTCACTCCTGGCCCTCTGACCCTACAACCTCTGGCCTTTGACCCTTGAGCCCCACTTTGTCTTCAACCCCCTTGAGCTCTTCCAACTTTAACACCCCGCTTTACCTCCGACCTCACAAGCCCACCTTCACCCCGACTTCTCCTTCACCTTCGACCTTCCTCGAGAACCCAATGCACCCCTAGACTGATAAGTTTACTTTAAATCCCTCCCCCTGAGCCTCCCTGAGCCTCCGACCTTGCCTCACCTTTAACCTCACGAAGCCAGCTGCCCTCTGACTCTGCCTTCTCTGGCTCCCGTAAGTCCCCTGCTTCGTCCCTGACCTCACTCCTCTCGGTTCCAAATGCCCTTGGCTTTCCAGGGGTGGTGGAGGGCTGCTGCAGGGAGAAAAGGAAGCCTCGGAGCCTGTGGACGAGAGGAGCTGCGCCCCCAACCCTCCCCATCCTCCTCCCCTCTGCCTCACCCTCAATAAATAAATTAATTGTCCCGCCATGTTTCTGCCAAGTACATTTTTCATCTCCCCATGGGAGGGCCAACAAGCAAGGGCTCCTCCCTATAGGATGGAGGTGGGCACTGAAGGGACATCTCATCCAGGGTTGCGAGATGTGGGGCAGAAATTTTTGAGTCAGACAGACCAAGCTATGACACTGTGTGGTGTTGGGTAAACCACTTGTCCTTTCAAATCCTCGATTTGCTCACCTGTAAAATGGGACTATATATTTCCCCCATGAACCCCACACTCCCACCCCAGCGATGTTTGTGAGAGTTCAAGGAGACCTTGTGGGCACAGTGCATGGCACAAAGTGGGTGCTTGGTGATGGAACTGCAGCCATTCTCCGTGGGGTGTCTTGCAAGTATGGAAGGCAGAGAGAGGGATCTCTAGGGAAGGATGCTGGGAAGATGGCAGCCTGGGGCTAGCATCCGAGGGACAGTCCTGCCAGAATAACAGTCACTAACATGAATGGAACATTTCGACGTCCTGGCACATGCCTCATCTCATGCAACTGTCACACCAACTCCGTAAGATCTGAGCTTTTATCTTCTTTCCAACCAAGGTTTAGAGAGACAAAGTGTATCAGTTAGCTTTTGCTGTGTAACAAACAATCCCAAAAAGTTTAGGGGCTTATAACACCTATTATTTATTTTGTTCCCAAATCTGTAATTTGGGCAGGGCTTGGCAGGGCAGCTCATCTCCACTCCCCTTGGCACCATCTAGAAAATCTCAGCTGGAGACTGAGGGGTCTACTTTCAAAGCGGCTCGCTCACATGACTTCCAAGTTGATGGCAACCATCAGCTGGGGGTTCAAAGAGGCAGGCGAGAGGGTATCAGTACCTCTCCACGGGCTGATTAGACTTCCTCAGGGCATGGGGGCCAAGTTCCCCAAAGCGACACCCGAGGAGAGCAAGCGAAATGCTTTGCATTTTTATGACCTAGCTTCAGGAGTCACTTGGCATTCTCCTTTTTAATGGATGCTGTCGCAAAGGCCTGTCCAGGTTCAAGTGGGTGGGATACAGACTCCACCTCCGGAGGGTAGAGAGGCGAGATGCCAGAAGAGCGTGTGGAATGGGAGCCATCACTGCAGCCATCTTTGGAAACTACAGTTTGGTCCCATGACTATGGATCAGTGAGCTGGGGTTCGAAGCCTGACACAGGGTCCAAAGCCCTCAGGAGCATTTCTAGTTTAAGTCTAGAACTCTGATTCCCCTTTGTCAGCCAGAGTTCAGTGTGGGGACCATTCTAGGCATATTAAGCAGAAAGGGATTTAATACAAGGACTTACAACGAGGTCGGAGGGGCCGAGAGAGTAGGCTGTAGTCCAATGCTTCTAAAACTTCATTGTTCAAAAGAATCACCAGGAACACTTTGCTGGCACACTTTTGCCAGCTTCCTGGGCCCCGCCCTCGTTTCTGATTCAGCAGGTGGGTGAAGGTGAGGCCCAAGACTTTGCATTTTCAACAAGTTCTTGGGTGATGCCGATGATGCTGCCTATGAGACCACATTTCGAGTAGCCGTGGAATAGGTTGGAACAGCACAAAGCTGAGCCACCAAGGAGCTGCTTCCTCTGCTCAATGAGAAAAGTGGAGAGTCAGCAGGCTGCCGTCAGAACTGTCAAATTCAAGAACACCTCCCGACACCCACGAAGTTGGAGATAGGTCCGTTGGAGTGCTGAACAAAAGTTAACTAAAAGGAATATTAAAATAAAATTAATTAAACTAAATACCCAGTGGGATACACACACACACACACACACACACACACGTGGTGTGGGGGGGAATGTTCACCTCTTTTGTACCCTCTACCTTCCAAATCCCTCACGAGCATTTCTAATCGGTAGAATCAGTTCCACATCCAGAGACAGAGCTGCAAAGAATTCTTGGAAATGTAGTTTTTTCAGAGCTTCTGTAGTACAAAGCAGACTGGGGCCCCAGCCGACTCACGGGGCCCCACTACAGCCAGGAAGGAGGAGTGTGAGGGAGGCAGCCCGGTACCCAGCTCGCGGCAACCCTCATCTGAGCAGGCCCAGCCCGGTGTAGGGTAGTAGAGCAAGAAGACAATGGATGAGGCCATGAACTTCGCTGCCTGTCATCTCAAATCTAACGTGGCCACAAAAGAACTCCATATCCTGCCCCTAAAATATCCCTTTCCTCAATAAGAGGCACCACCCCATGACTCAAACCTCAATCTGGGAGTCAGCTTTCATTCATTGTTTCCTACACCCAGCACACTCTTCCTAGCTTTTGCCGAGTCCACTTGTCTCTGTCTCCAAAATATACCCCAAATCCGACCTCTTCCCTTCACTGGTCTATACTGTGATCTAAGCCACCATTATTGTTCACCCAGACAACCTCCCCAATCACTTCCTTGAGCTCCCTTCTGCTACCTCTGTCCCCTGCGGCCCGTTCTCCCTCCACGGAAGCCAGAGAGAAGCCTTTATATGCAAATAAGAGCCTCTCCCTCCCCTGCTCAAAACCTTCCCATGACTCCATCTCACTCATATTGAAACCCGAACTCTCACCTTGGCCTCCACCCGCTGCTGACTACATCCCATCACCCTCCCCTTACTCAGTTCTGAAGGCGAAACTTAAGCTGAAATTACAGTGGCCTTCTTTATGGGCTCGACCACATCAAGCTCGATTCGACCTCAGGGCTTTTGCACGTGCTATTTCTGCTACTTCTTTCCCCCAGACGTATGGTCGGCTGAGCCCTTCTCATCGACAGGTTCAAGTTCAAGTGATACCTCCTCTAAGCAGCATTTCCTGGCAAGTCTAAGTTAGCACACGGTCGCTCTCTATCACTTATCTATCTGTATCCTTTTTTCTTTTGCTTTGTCCCCTTCTCTCCCCACTGGAATGTGAACTTGATGAGGGCAGGAATCTCCTCTACCATGGTCACCACATCCCTACAGCAGCTTGACGCAACATAGACCCTCAGAATTTTTTGTAGAATGAATGAATGAATGAGCGAGTGAATGAATGACTTCACGCCACACTAGGAGGTAAGCGTTTTGTTTTCCTCTTCTTAAAGTGAGAAAACAAAGACAGAGAGTGTGGGGGTGGCTTCTAAGATAACCCCAATGAGCTCCATTTCTCCCATTCACGCTCTCATGTGATCTCCTCCCCTTGAGTGTGGGCTAGTCCTGGTGGTGGCTTCTAACCAACAAGGTATGGCGAGGTGATGGGATGATACTTCTGAGACTGGATTACAAAAGGCTGTGGCTTCTGTCTGGATGAACTCTGGTGCTTTCTCAGCTTGCTCGAGTTGGTAAAGTAAGCAGCAAAGTGGGAATGTTTACACGGCAAAGAACCAAGGGCAGACTCTGGCCAACAGCTAGCAAGGAACTGAGGCCCTGGGTCCAACAATTTACAATGAATCGAACCCTGCCAGCGTCATATAATGAGCCTAAAAGTAGATCCTTCCTGGCAAGCCTTCAGATGCGGCCACACCCCAACAGACTTACCTTATTGTCGCTGAGACGCCCTGCAGTAGAGAACCCACTAAGCTGTGCCCAGAGTCCTGGCCCCCACAGAAATTGTCAGTCGCAAACGTGTGTACTTTTAAGCCACTAACTTAGGGCCATTTGATATACAGCAATAGTAACTAATACAGAGAGATCAAATAACTTACCTAAGGTCACACAGACATTAAAGAACTGAATCAGGTCTTGAACCCAGGTCTAAAACCAAAATCATTCTCTTCACCATTGACCTGACCTGCCTCCAATAATAATAGGCAGAACATATCAAAAGCTTGATTCAGGCCTACAAGTACGTCTGCGTAGCCTTGCGTCTCAACATGGCATCTGTATGTATGTCTCGTTCAGAGTCTGCAGCCCTCTGTCCAGGTGTATCTCTCTCCACGCATGTGACTATGTCTGGCTGTGGACCTAACAAGCTATTAGCTTGTTCTCATTGACAGCTGTGGTCTCTGCACGTGTGTCCGTCTGTCTGTTTTCTCTGAATAGATCTGTTTGTGGCTGCATCTGCGTGTTATCTCTCTGCATCTATCACCTGGCTGGGTGAGGACTGCTCCGTGTGTGTGCTGTCCCTCCGCACTCTTTGATTTTGTCCATGACTGTATCCTGCCTGTATGACTTGGTGTCTCTCAGTGTCTGCTGTCTGTGATGGTTCTGGCCTGTTTGTCTGTGTCAGTCACTTCCTGGCCCTGTGTGTGTAGTCTGTCTGTCTGTGACTGTGTTCTGACTGCTGTTGGCCATCCACCTCCCTGGTGACCCCGTGTCCACTCTCTGGCCCAGCTCCCTCTGGTGGTCCTACAAGGAATGGCCAAGCCAGGTGGACCGAAGGAAAGAGAGTTGAGAGAAGAGAAAGCAGGTTACGCAAACTGCGAAGGAAGGCTGCTCGGAGAGGGGAGATCTTGGGTTG